TAGAATAGGAAAAGCAGTTAACGGCCACAGTAAGCAAAGCAAACGATATTAAGGATCTAAACTCGACAAGCGACAATGTGACTGAGGCGAGGTGATTACCAGGGATAAGAGGGGTCTTTATCAAGAAGACAATAAACCTAAACATTATTCAGCTAAAATCAAAGCTTCAATATACATGAGGCAAAAACTGATAGAACTTCAAGGAAAAAGAGACAAATCCACATTTATAGTCAAGGATTTCAACATACCTCTCTCAATAATCTATAGAAACGGTGGATAGAAAATCAATAATGATATAGAAAAACAGAACAACACTATCAACCAATTGTTGATTCTAAGACTGACATTTATAGAACTCTCCAACCAAAAACAATACAATAGTTTAGAACACAGAGCACTTACAAAAACGGCCATATGCTGATCCCTAAAACAAGTCTCAATAAATTTAAAAAGTCAAATCAGACTAAGTATATTTTATGACAAAAAAGTAATTAAATGAAAAATCAATAGTAAGAAGAAATCTGAAAAATCCTCAATTATTTGGAAATCAAATAACACACTGTTTAGTAACTCATATGTGAAAGAATAAATCAAAAACAAAATCATAAAATATTTGAACTGAATGACAATGAAGGCATAAGGTATTGGAATCTATGCAATACAGCTAAAACAGTGCTCAGAGAGAAATGTACAGCACTAAAGGATCACATTAGAAAAGAAATAAAGACAAAATCCATGACATCAGATGCCATCTGAAAAAGTAGAAAAAGAGGACAGAAGGAAGTGGAAGTAAGCAGAAAGATAGAAATGATAAAGATGAGAGCAGAAGTCAATGAAATAGGGGAAAAAAACAAATAAATAGAGAAATCAATGAAACTAAAAGCTGATTCTTTTAGAAGATCAATAAAACAGATAAAACTTAAGCCAGGTTGATTTGGGAAAAAGAGAAAAACAAAGAAAGAGGCAGAGAAAGAAGATACCAGTTACCAATATTTATTGGTCTAAGGTATCAATAATTATACCATAATTAGAGACAGAATATCATTACAGATCCTCTGGACATAAAAAAGATAAAAATAAATGTTATAGCAGATAACACAAATAGCCCTATATCTATTAAAGAAACAGAATTTTTAGTTAAAAACTTTCCTACAGGAATTTTCCTCAGCAAAAGTCCTACTGGGGGTCCAGACCAAGATGGTGACATAGGAGGTTCCTGAATTTCCCCCGTCCCACAGATTCACCAAGTATACAGCTATATATAAAGTAGTTCCCACTGAGAGAGATTTGGAAACTAGCTGAGTGTCTCCTACATACCAGGCAAATCAGAAAATACTTCAAACAAGTAGGAAAGACTGAGACGCACTCTTGCCCTAAATCCTACCCCCAGGCACAGAACTTAACCACTAGGCCACAGGGCTGGATCCCCCACTCTCGCCACTTTTTTTCAACATAGTACTGGAAGTCCTGGCCGGGGTAATTAGGCAAGAAAAAGATATAAAAAGCATCCAGATTGGAATGAGTAAAGTAAAATTTTCTCTTTGCAAATGACATGATACATTACATAGAAAACCCTAAAGACTCCACCAAAACACTATTAGAATTAATAAATGAATTCAGTATGGTTTCAGGATACAAAACGAACACGCAAAAGTTAGTTGAGTTTCTACGCACTACCAATGAACTCCTGGAAGTCCTATTTACAATATCATCAAAAATAATAAAATACTTTGGAATAAATTAACTAAGGAGATGAAAGATCTGTACAGTGAAAGCTAAGACTGATTAGAGAAATTAAAGAAGATGCAAACAAATGAAAAAGCATTCCATGTTTATTAATTAGAAAAATTAATATTGTTAAAATGTCCATACTACCCAAAGCCACCTTTAGATTCAATGCAATTTCTATCAAAATTCCAATGGCATTTTTCACAGAAATAGAAAAAACAACCCTAAAATTCATACAGAACCACAAAAGACCCCAAATAGCCAAAGCAATCTTGAGAAAGAATAAAGGCATCATACTTCCTGATTTCAAACTATATTACAAAGCTATAATAATCAAAACAGTATGTTAGTGGTATTAAAACAGAGACATAGGTCAATAGAATAGAGAGCCTAGAAATAAATTTTTGCGTATATGGTCAATTAATTTCCAACAAAGGTACCAAGAATACACAATGGGGAAAAGACAGTCTATTCAATAAATGATGTTGAGAAAATTGGATAACCACATGTAAAAGAAAGAAATTGGGCCCTTATCTTACACCATACACAAAAATAAACTCAAAGTAGGTTAAAGACTTGAACATAAGACCTGAAACCATAAAACTCCTAGAAGAAAACACAGGCAGTAAGTCCCTTGACATTGGTCTTGGCAATGAGTTTTTCTGATTTGACACCAAAAGCAAAGACAACAATAACAATAAAAAATAAACAAGTGAGGGGCCAGCCTGGTTGTGCAGTGGTTAAGTTCGCACATTCTGCTTCAGTGGCCTGGGGTTCGCTGGTTAGGATCCTGGGTGCAGACCTACACACTGTCAAGCCACGCTGTGGCAAGCATCCCACATATAAAAAGTAGAAGATGGGCTCAGATGTTAGCTCAGGGCCAGTCTTCCTCAGCAAAAAGTGGAGGATTGGCAGCAGATGTTAGCTCAGGGCTAAACTTCCTCAAAAAAAATTAAAATAAAAAAGTGAGACTGCATCAAATTAAAAAGCTTCTACATGGCAAAAGAAACTATCAACAAAATGAAAACGTAACCTACGGAGTGGGAGAAAATATTTGCAAACCACATATCTGAGACAAGTTAATATCCAAAATATACAAGGAACTCATACAACTCAATAGCAAAAAAACAAATAAGCCAATTAAAATGAGCAAAAGGGAGCTGAATAGACATTTTTCCAAAGAAGACATGTAAATGGCCAACAGGTACATGAAAAGGTGCTTGACATCACTAATCATCAGGGAAATCAAATCAAAACCGCAGTGAGATACTACTTCACACATATTATGATGTTTGCTATCAATAAGACAAGCAATAACAAATGCTGGAGATGGTGTGGAGAAAAGGGAATTCTTTCACACTGTTGTTGGGAATGTAGACTGGTACAGCCATTATGAAAATTGTGCGGAGATTCCTCAAGAAATTAACAGTGGCACTGCCATATGATCCAGCAATCCTTCTTCTGGGTACATATCCAAAGGAAGTGAAATTATCTCAAAGAGATATCTGTACTCCCATTTTCATTACAGCATTATTCAGAATAGCCAAGGAATGGAAATAAACTAAGTGTCCATTAATGGATGAATGGATAAAGAAGATGTGGTATACACGTGCACAACAGAATATTATTCAGCCATAAAAAAGAAGGGAATCTTGCCATTTGTGACAACATGGATGGGCTTTGAGGGCATTATGCTAGGTGAAATAAGTCAGACAAAGAAAGGTAAATATTGTATGATATCATTTATATGTGAAATCTACAAACTCATAGAAACAGAGAGTAGAATAGTGGTTGCTAGGGGTCAGGGGGTGGAGGAAACGGGAGATGTTAAAGGGTACAGCCTCCAGTTATAAGTTGAATAAATTTTGGAGATTTAATGTACAGAATACCAAGTATAGTTAACAATACTGTACTATATACTTGAAAGTTGCTAAGTGAGTAGATCTTAAATTGTCTCATCACCAAAAAAAAAAAAAAAACTTGTTATTATGCGAGGTGATGGATATGTTAACAAACCTTATTTTGGTCATCAATTTGCAATATTATGCACATCAGATCACCACACTGTACACCTTAAACCTACACGATGTTGTATGTCAGGTATATCTCAATAAAGCTGGGGAGAAAAGCAAATCTCAAAATTTTTTTGAAAAAAAGAAAAGAAGCCACAACAGAAAATAGAAAAAAGAAAAAAAAAAAACCTCTTCAAATTTACAGAAAGAAGTTTAACTGGAATTTAAGTAGCTCAAAAAACATAAAATGAAAAGGACTTGGAAATATCAAAAGAGCAACCCTCATTTGAGAAGTCCAGAGTAATGTTTCTCAACATCAAATCTGGCACATATGAAAAAAGAATGTGCTTACAAAATTTTTTATAAAATTCTGAAAAACTCACTTAAAAATATCACAGGCTCTTGGTTACCGAGGTAATGAAGGACACGAGAAAAATCTAACGATTATAGGGCATCAAAGCTTAACCAGGTTTGGAATTACTAATATAGAGTTTTCACTAAACAGAGAAATACACTAACCAAACAATTTTTTAAGAGAATAATCTCACCATTTCAGCACATTGCAACTGAATTGTAGCTAGACAAAATATTCTCCCAAAAGTTACCATAATCATAGAAATCGAGATGTCCTTTAATAACAGGCATCCTAGAATAATCCAAAATTACTCTTTAAAAATGATGATAGCTTGTAACATAGTAACTCAACTTTATTCTAAGTTTCCTTTCATCACAAGTTCAGAGCGATGCTTCCAAAGAACTCATCGCATTCTAAGTTGAAATGGAATAAAAACTAAATGGGAATATGCCCTCACGGCCATCTAAGGATATTTTTCTTTACGTTCCCTCACCTTTTTTAATACATCGTCCATGATTATCTTTATTGAAACGAATATTTTTACAAAGGAAATAAATTTCCCTATTCAGACATTGAAATATAAAACACGCAAGAAGAATGAAAACAGGGAAGAAATGCTTGTCTCAGAAGGAGTCAAGTGGAAAGACAATAAGAGAGATGATGAATTATGAGAAAGAAATCACTACAAAACTTTAGATTTGTGACTAAAACTCAAAGAATTTAAAGTAGGTGAAAGCACTGTAGAAAATAAAATGCCTTTTCCACTAGAAGCTACATATAGCTTTATCCTTGTCAACAGGATTGGGTCTAGAAAGGATATTTTAAGTAATTATTTCAATCATAAACTTACTTCATTTCAAAATAGGCATTTTATACACTCTAGCTTTGAATGAAAATATCACAAGTATTTTAAACCACTAGTTTTTATTGTTCATTTTCCAACCTGCAGTCCACTTCTTGGGGGCTCCTTTCATTTGCCTGTTCACAATGCTGCTTCCAAATGCCCGCCCTTTTCTGAAGTATGCGCTTCCAGACCTCCTGACTACGGTGGAGGAGGAGCCCCTATTTCACTTGTATCTGGATGACACCGTCTATTTCAATAGTAGAAACCTGTCCTTTCACGTTAGTAGACAAATCTGCAGGAACAGGATCCAGCTGTAAAGGCTCTTCATACTTTGGCTCATCTTTCAAAAGCACCGATCCTAATTTTACCACTGAGACATCTGTTGTCTCGGGAGACTGATATTCAGTAGACACATTGTCTACCAGAGCCTCAGCTGTAGGGGTTTGTTGAGATGGTGGAGGCTGAACTTCAGCAGGGGTATCTTTTATAGAGATTTGTGAGATAGAATTGGGCTCTTCAGCTGGTGGAGGCTGTTTGTCCACAGGGACCATTTCTGAAGTAGTTTCTTCAGTTAGTGGAGGCTGAAGTTCAGCAGGGGCCTCTTCTGCAGGGACTTCCTCAGCTGGTGGAGACAGAAGTTCAGCTGGGGTCTCTCCTGCAGTGATCTCAGCTGGGGCCTCTCCTGCAAGGGCCTCCTCAGCTGGTGGAGACTGATCTTCAGCTGGGGCCTCTTCCATAGGAGCCTCCTCAGCTGGTGGAGACTGATCTTCAGCTGGGGCCTCTCCTATAGGAGGCTCCTCAGCTGGTGGAGACTGATCTTCAGCTGGGGCCTCTCCTATAGGAGGCTCCTCAGTTGGTGGAGACTGATCTTCAGCTGGGGCCTCTCCTATAGGAGGCTCCTCAGCTGGTGGAGACTGATCTTCAGCTGGGGCCTCTCCTATAGGAGGCTCCTCAGTTGGTGGAGACTGATCTTCAGCTGGGGCCTCTCCTATAGGAGGCTCCTCAGCTGGTGGAGACTGATCTTCAGCTGGGGCCTCTTCCATAGGAGGCTCCTCAGTTGGTGGAGACTGATCTTCAGCTGGGGCCTCTTCCATAGGAGGCTCCTCAGTTGGTGGAGACTGATCTTCAGCTGGGGCCTCTCCTATAGGAGCCTCCTCAGTTGGTGGAGACTGATCTTCAGCTGGGGCCTCTTCTGCAGGGGACTTCTCAACTGGTAGAGGCTGCAGTTCAGCTAGGGGCTCTTCTGCAAGGGCCTCCTCAGTAGCTGGAGGCTGAACTTTGGCAGGGACCTCTTCTGCAGTGGTCTCCTCAACTAGGGGAGGCTGAAGTTCAGCAGTGGCCTCCTCTGCAGGAGCCTCCTCAGCTGGTAGAGGCTGAAGTTCCTCTAGGACCTCTTCTGCAGGGGCCTCCACAGCCGGTGGAAGCTGAAGTTCTGGGGCCTCCTGTGTAGGAGCCTCCTCAGCTGGGGAAGGCTGTATTTCAACAGGAGCCTCTTCAGCTGTTGGAGGTTGAACTTCAGCATAAGGCTCTTCTGAAAGAGCCTGTTCTGTAGGGGCCTCCTCGGCTGGTGGAGGCTGAAGGTCAGCCGGGGTCTCTTCTGCAGTGATCTCCTCTGCCGGTGGAGGTTGCACTTCAGGAGAGATCTCTTCTGCAGTGGGAGGCTGTACTTCAACTAGAACGTCTTGCTCATCTTCTAAAAGTACTGGAGTACTTTTTATGTTTTGTTGACTAAATGAAGATCTGCTGATACTTTTCTGCCTAACTTCTTCACTGCTACACGTTGTGGGTTGAAATTCAGGATGTTCACCAGCAAAAACCTTCCCTGAGGATTTAGGTGTCTGCTCATCTTGCTTTGAATTTGGAAAAGAACTACCTGGCCTGCAAATAACCACTATTTCTGATTCACTAAAGTATGTCTGCTGTTCCTTGTCCACTTTTTCTCTTTGAGGAATGTTCATCATTATCCAATCTCCAGTACAACTGGTCTGCTGAGATCTGTCAATTTTGAGTTGAACTGCGGGTCTGCTTGGTGAAATTTCCACTTCATGAACACTCTCTGGAAATTCAGGGGCTGCCTCTCCAACAGCAGCTGGCTTTTCATCAGGTATCACTGTTTCACCAACTGACTTGATTTCTTCTTTTTTCTCTTCTGCAATAGGGTCTGTCTGCAGAGATTTGTCAGTCATATCCTGTACAAGCTTTCTCTTCACCCAAGTTTGCTGAAGTTGAGAAGATACTCTGAGAGACTCATAGTTGACTTTGCTTCCATGAATATTACCAATACTAAGGGTCGCTTTGGGGCCAGATGATTGTGGCATGGGCGAGTGCTTCTTTTTCTCTGGCTCTTCAGTCTGCTGGGCTTTGTCTACCATTGGCTGGCTGGGTCGTCTTCTCTTTCGAATTTCTTGCCTCCCTGATGAGATAGGCTGATCAGGTTCATCACTTTCTTCCATTTCTAAGACTGGTGAATTTCAAATTATTAATCTTCAAGTAGTTAATCATTAAGAATTCACAAATGTACCAGATGGGTAAGCCTTTGCCTTTCTTCATTAAGTGTTGTTCTGTTGAGCTCCCTCAGAGAAAAGTAATTCATGTATTATTGCATTCTGTACTACACTCTTGTTGGACCCCACCTTAATCAGTAAGCATCTTTCTTATTTAATCTCTGGTATGACTAAATCTCACTTCTAGAAGTTTCCTTCAAGGGTCTATGACATCACAGCCAATTCTCCTTACAAGGTTCCATTGGTGGTATTCCCAGCACTTTTGAACATATTAAATACTCATGGACAATGGCTGCAAGTGAGAAAATCTACTATTTGAATCATTCAAGTTGATAAAAACATTTATCTGTCAAAAAAACATCAAGTAAGTTCCAGAAATGCTACTCTCTAATAGTTGAAGCTGACACTTTTGAACTCTCGATTCTGTTCTTTTCATCCTACTATCTTTGATAGTGTGCAGAACACAGAATGCTGCAGCCTGTTTTCAGTTGTTGGAGAAAATGACTGATAACATATGTGACAAAGTTCTATCAATCTATGTTTATTTTATTTGAAAGAAGGTTAATATTGTTTGAAAACTGAGTTCTGATGTCCACATCCATGTAAGCTCTTTTCCTATGTGTTTAGCATTCAGTAACCACAAGAGCCTACTATCCAAATATATACATAAATAAGTAGCATTTATGCCTTCTCAAACATCTTGAAATATTTTTCTTTTCAACTTTTTCAGAAAATAGCTCGATCTAAAGTCTGCCAAATACAGGATGTTGAGCCTAAATATACGTCAAGTGAAATAAAATGCATTATTTGACAGTCACTATATCCTCTGTTGAATAACCACGTGGGAAGGAAGTCCCCAGTGAGGATAAAAACTTTAAATTGAAGCTCTGAAAAAGAAGAACTCCAGTTAAGCAAATTGTAACTGGCATTATGATTTGGAATATAAATAAAACTTTAACTTAGACATTAGACAAAATTTTACTGGAAAGATGGAGATTGGTCAAAAGATGTGCAAAAACATGTTCCTTTAGTCTAAGGAAAGCTAAAGAGGAGAAAATAGACTTTAAAAAGGTAGTCACAAGAGATAAAGTGGTAAATATATCTGAACAATCATTATGACTTCATTAACCTGGAAATATTTTTAAATTTCTTTATGCTGTTTTGCCCCTAGGAGATATAAAAATACCATTGACTAATTCCCCTTGTTTGACATGCATTAGTCATAATTGTGGCTAGGTCATCTTAGCAAAATAAATGAGCACTTTCCACATTCTTTGACCTAGCCCCTAAAACAGCCTCTGTCTCTTGGCAGACATCAGCGAATATTTGTCGAGTGTAATTGGAGGAATGTGATGAGAAACCATGCTGCTTGTCCTACCTCTCAACTTGCTCGGCTCTCATTTTTTTCTGTTATGCTACACTGTGTTCTATCTTTCTAAGATTTAATAAAGTGAATTAAAACAATAGTTATTTTATAAAAGAATTGACATAGGTTGCTGTAGTTTGAAAACCAGGTTGTTTATCAACGACTTGGTGGTCTGGTGCTCCTCTCAATTGCATCTGTCAAACACTGAATGTGTATTTTGTAATCAAGTCTCTGTCACTTTATGTAGTATCTTTAAAATCTGTTTAGGGTCAATTGATGACAAGAAATAAATGTCAAAACTAACTTTTCACTGAGTTAATGTAACATTGCACATATTGGATTAATTTTGCTTCCTCCACTTAAGATTTTTACCAAATTTTCCATAGACACAAACTGAATTTTCAATTTCAGTTAAATTCTCAACTTCCAGTTCTTTGATATTTATGTTTTCCCCTCCAAGAAATAATGAAGAACTTGATCTTTCTCAATTACACACCAACTATGATGCCTTTTGTCACTAGCTTATTCACAGAAGCAAGTTAGCATTCCTAAATAATCAATCAAGTAAAATTTTACTTGAGATTTTAGATAGAATTAGAGAGATTTCATAGAGCTGTTTCTCGTCATATTTTTCAACATCCACAAACACTCCTTTTGCCGTGCTGATCCACCTAAACAACCAATCGTTATTCGATCTATCTTATCACTTTAGGACTGGTGATTTACCCTTTTTTCTGGAAATCCCACATGGTTTGGTTCTCTTCCCTTCACTTGGTGTACATCTGTTATGGGTTGAATTGTGTATCTCAAAAAGATATACTGACATCCTAATCCCCAGTATCTATGAATGTAATCTTATTTAGAAATAGGGTCTTTGCAAACCCAATCAGATTACGATAGTGCTCTTATAAGAAGAGGAAAATTTAGCCTCAAAAAAACACAGAGGGAAGCTGGGCATGTGAAGATGGCGGCCGAGATTGGAGAGACACAGCTGCAAAGCAAAGAACAAACACCTGGGGCTGCCAGAAGCTGGAAGAGACATAGAAAGACCCTCCCCTAGAAGCTGCAGAGGGAGCATGGCCTTGCCCACACCCTGATTTGGAACATCGAGCCTCTAGAAGTGTGAGAGAACTTATTCTATTTTAACCCAGTTTGTAGTACTTTCTGATGGCAGCCCCAGGACACTAATCCAACATCCTGTGAGAGCCCTGTATTTCTGACTCCTGTCTGGTGTGCTGTACTTTGGACTCTCTCCATCTCTAGGGCTACTTTCTTTATTTCTGACTCAAGCCTGGCATTTCGTTTCATCCCATATTTGACCCATTTCTATAGTCATAAAACCAGAGGCATTTGCTGAAAGACCTCTTCCTGATGATTTGCATTTAATTTTACTAAAAAATTTGTTGAGTGGAACTTAATTTCATTTCTAATTGTAACAACTTTGAAAGCTATGATTTAAAGAAGGCAGCGATGTTTCAAATCAATATAAACCCAGTATCCGAGTTTATACTGGCAAAACTGCGGCCTGTATTGCTTTTTCTTAACTGCGTGGCTCCAATAAGGTGAAGTCTGAGAAATGTTCACTGGATATAACAACTATGAGGTCATTGGTAATTTTAGCAAGAGTAATTTCAGTGGAAGGGTGGCAATAGGAGCCATAAAATTCTAAACCTCTGTGAATTAAAAATAAAATTAGGGGCCAGCCTGGTGGCTTAGTGCTTGAGTTTGTGCACTTCACTTCGGTGGCCTGGGATTCACTGGTTCAGATCCCAGGTGCGGACCTAGCACTACTTGTCAAGCCATGCTGTGGTAGCATCCCACATAAAAAAGAGGAAGATTGACACAGATGTTAGCCCAGTGACAATCTTCCTCAAGCGAAAAAAAAAGAGGAAGATTGGCAACAGATATTAGCTCAGGACCAATCTCCCTGAAAAAAAAAAAAAGAAAGAAACTATCAACAAGATGAAAAGGCAACCTATGGAATGGGAGAAAATATTTGCAAACCATTTACCCAATTAGAGGTTAATATCCAAATTATATAAAGGACTCATACAACTCAATAGCAAATAAACAAGTAACTCAATGAAAAAATGGGCAAAGGACCTGAATAGACATTACACCAAAGATGACATACAAATGGTCAATAGGTACATGAAAAGGTGCTCAATATCACTAATCATCAGGGAAATGCAAATTGAAACAACAGTGAGGTATTATCTCACACCTGTTAGGATGTCTGTTATCAAAAAGACAAGTGATAACAAGTGCTGGCAAGGATGTGGAGAAAGAGAATTCTTATACACTGTTGGTGGGAATGTAAACTGGTACAGCCACTATGGAAAGCAGTATGAAGCTTCCTCAAGAAATTAAAATAGAACTACTATATGATCCAGCAATCTTATTTCGGGGTATATATCCACAGGAAATGAAATCATTATCTTGAAATGATATCTGCACTCCACCTTTATTTCATCATTATTCACAATAGGCAAGATATGGAGACAACCCAAGTGTCTGTCAGTGAAGGAATGGATGAAGAAAATGTGATAGATGATAGATAGATAGATAGATAGATAGATAGATAGATAGATAGATAGATAGATAGATAATGATGGTATATTATTCAATCTTAAAAAAGAAGGAAGTCCTGCCATTTGTGACAACATGAATAAACCTGAAGGACATAATGCCAGGTGAAATAAGCCAGACAGAGACAAATACTGCATGGTATCACTCATATGTGGAATCCAAAAAAAGGTCAAATTCATAGAAAGAGAAATTAGAATGGCTGTTGCAAGGGGCTGGGGAGTAGGGGAAATGGGGAGAGGTTAGTAAAAGGGTACAAACTTTCAGTTATAAGATTAATAAAATCTAAGGATCTAAGTTATAGCATGGTAACTAGAGTAGATAATACTTTATTGTGCAATCGAAATTTGCTAAGAGGGACATCTTAAGCATTCTCACCAAAAGAAATTTTGTAAGTATCTGAGGTGATAGATGTCTTAGTTACCTCGATTATGGGAATACTTTCACAAAGTATACATATATCAAATCATATCATTGTACACTAAATATATTTTGCATTGTACACTATAAATATATTGTCAATTATACCTCAGTAAATCTGGGGGAAAAAGAGTTATTTTGTTTAAATGCCATGATCGTGGGAATAAGAAGGAAGGAGGTGCATTAGTTTCTCTGTGGTCTAACAAATTACCACAAATTCAGCGGCTTAAAACAACACAAATTTACTATTTTACAGTTTCTGTGAGTCAGCAGTCAAGATCTGGGTTAGCTGGGTCCTCTGATCTGGATCTCACCAGTGTACCTCAGTTAAATCAGTGTCAGCCTGAGATGAGATCGCATCTGATGCTCAGGGTCTTCTCCCAAGCTCACTGAGTGTTGACAGAATTCAATTCCCTGTGGTTGTACAACTGAAGTCCCAATTTTCTCCCTAGCTGTCAGCCAAACTGGCTCTCAGCTCCTATGCGCTGCCTTTAAGTCCTAGCCATGCGGTCCTCTCACAACACAGCAATTTAATTTTTTAAAGCCAGTAGGACAATCTTTTTTCCATGTGCTATAACACAATCTCATATAATGCACAATTATCACAAGTGTAACTAATAATCCCATAGCCTTTATCATATAATATAATATAATCAATTACACATATCCTCTATCAACTATTGACTATCCCATGATATTCAGAGGTCCCACCCACACTCAAGGGGAAGACTTTACAGAGCATATAGACCAGGGGGCAGGAAACTTCAAGGTCATCTTAGAATTTTGCCTACTACAGGAGGCAAGAATGGAATCATAAAAATCAGCTAGAAGGCTGGCAAGAAAAGAGGGCCCAAGACAAAGCCCTAAGTTATCAAGCATTTGAATGTCAGGTATAGGGAGAGAGGCTGGAAAAAACAATTGCAAATGAGTATTAGATTGGTGGAAATATAGACGGGGAAAA